ATTTAAACACATAAGGCATTTATTTGGAACTGTCCAGCTATACCAGAAGTGAAATACATTTGCTGCTGTGTGTAATTGAATTGATATTAAATAAAATTGAGTCGAGTATGTTTGCATCCAAAAAAAAATGTAAACCATTCTCATGCGTATATCAAATTAAATCGCATGCATTGAAATTCGTATATATGCACTTTAAAGAACAAACGTTATTCACGTATGGGATTAAAATAGATACCCGTTGCGACATTACCTATGGAAATGAAATTATTCGTAAGGTATGGCATAAAAATTAAATCGAAGTTTAAGATGTAGCATTGAATTCCAATGAATTTAATAGTGCATCTTTTAATTAAAATGAACGTCGAATTATTTTGTGAATCATTTCTATGCGATACACCGCATTAAAATACATTGCATTTTAAATGTGCTTATACATACAATGGAAATTCGGTCTGCATAAAATGTAACGCATAAGAATAAGACACAAATTTAATGTATCAAATGGAAATGGTATGAATGAAAACTACTCTGCATGCAAATGCGCAGTTACCTTAGAGAAGGAAAGTAGCCGTAGGTCGTAGGTACGTTTTATTTGCGGTTGCGCAAAAACAAAACAGCTGTTATTGATTGTTACTTACATCGAACGTATAAATGGATTATTTATACGTTCATCAATTTTGAGAAGGCAAGCGATTTATTGGGTTATTTACGTCGGTCACACGTGACCTTTACAGTTTTTACGTACATATTCGGTAAGTCCAATTTTACGATTCCTTTTATGATAACAGTAAACAATGAATGTAGGATTTGCACCTGCTGCGCAATATTGTTTAATATAAAGCAAGAAAAAGGCCGATGGAAATCGAAAGATGTGCAAGAGGCGCCGGGTCCCCTTAACAATAAATTGGAGGTGTACGCTGTCGCTATAAAAATAGGTAATCTCAAATTTCACTTATTCTTACCTGTAATGCAAATTGAGTGAACAGTTACAGGTTCGTGGGAATTAATAATGGATAAAGAGTCCAGAGATAAACCGTGTTAATGGAACGAAGCTCATGTTCTACGACTCTTGTAAGGAACAAGCACATCGACAAGTTGATGCTCCTTCGTAATGGAAATTATGTCGAGTTCAATCGTGATATATCTACTAACACGATTAGTTAAATATGTAATCTCCATTGAATGAGAGATTTGTATATTTACAAGATGCTAATACATGTACCTGTGTAGAAACACGAGCACGTGAGACATTGTTAGACACGTATCTCGTTCTGTTTGATGGGTGCACCGTAGTATGTAAACGAAGACGTGTCATTCGCTAACAAAGTTACACAAATATTGTCAACAAAATTTGTATCCTGATAATTAAACGATTATCCTATTCGTCATCTGGAAGCGTTTATTTCAAAAGTGAACCACACATCGAGAAATGTAACTTCCCTACATACCAAAAGGCAGATTGAAAGAGAAGTCCTCGCAGGGATGATAGAAGCGTAGTTCCTCTTAAAAACCCCTGTTAAAGTTTTTCTAGAAGTGCTCCAGAATTTGAGAAATTAATTTTTTTGACCTAGCACATTTCTAAATAGAACACCTAACTTTGACATCGCATTAAAGAAGTTACAGAGAGGTTAGAAGAAAATCCCCTATAGGGGCGATAGAAGGGATGTTCCTCTTTAACACCCTGCTCGCGGTTTTTCTGGAAGTGCCCTAAAATTCGAGAACTTAATGATTAAGGGTATTTTGGTCATTCTTTTAAATGTGAACGTTGTGATTTTGGTCATCTGTTTTGCTCATGCGGGAGCTGTGGTTATGAAGCCGATTTTGTGTAATTGTTGCAGTTATTCACATTAAAGCCGGATCCGGCTTTATAGTTCCGTAGCCGTAAGAACGGAACCGTAAAATCTGACGTTAACGAAAATTATGCGATTTATAGTTACCGTAGTGGTAAGAGATGAGCTTGCGTATTTATCTGCCATTGTATGTCATCTGTCAGTAAGAGTAACGTGCATTTCAAAATAATAATAACCAACAAAGTGTCAATAATTACTGTAAATAAACGAAACGAACGTCCGGATAAACTCAACTGTTTGAATTATCCGAGTACTATCGAAGACAGGCGCGTTAGCGCGATTTACCGTAAGGAATAAGATTTGGGCATTTCCTACGTACCGTAACCGTTCTAACGCAACGTAAACGGGAACTATAAATGTTCACGCGCAACAAGTAATTCCAAACGTTACGGTACGGTGCGGTGTTGCGGGTACGGAACTATAAATTCAGCTTAAATCACATGACAGCCGACAGGTTTGGTAATTTATTTTCGGCGAAGTCTTCAGATTAAATAGTATATTAAACCACGATTACTAATTTATTCATTTCATAATTTTTCGTTTTGGTTATAAGTTTTTGTGGTCCTGTGTATTGTACCTGTTAACGGTAATTTCTATGTGTCAGCCACTTCCAACCAAATTCAAGTCCACGGCTTAGTAGCCACTGTTATGGAGGTGGTTAGAAGGCCTATTGGTGTAATATATTTATGAGGCATTTACAAAAATTGGAGCTGTAGATCCCGGTATATATACCGTAGCGTTCGAAAATGTGATAGGTAATTATTTTACAGTGTTCTTTTATTACCATATGTACCGATCACATTAACGAAATGGATCACTAATTGGAGTGTATTCATCTGGTTGGTCCACGCGCGGCGCCACTAAAAAAAGGTGCAAGAGTTGTAACCTCACTTTGCAATCTTTTTGGCTTTCCTTCAATAATTATCAAGAGGACTTCCGTTGTGTACATTTTTTGTTATATTCGAAACCTTAGATCTTACGAAACACTTTCATGGTAGTAAGTATATGCTAATGTAGCCTTGTAGGTATATGCTGTTTATCTCAGAGTAAGAAATAAAGATAGCGATGCCTTGATGCTTATCAAAACGCGCCATAATCTCGTCGTGTTTGTAAATATTGCAGGAAGCGAACTTGTCACATTTCGCGAAACCATTTTTTAATTAATATTAATAATAGATATATAGAAAGGATCTAAATGGATTTTTAAATATTTATAAAGGTGGTGAAAAACAAACTATTATAAGTTGAAATTAAACGGCCTAATAAGAAAATTTAAGATAATTAGTGTGTCACGACGGCAACGCTGTAGCGATTTGACAGATGAAACTATATCTGTTTATTTCTAAAAATCGTAATTTTCGGCATTTTTAGTTCATTTTATAGATTGAAACTTATTCCATTGTGTTTAATAATTTATCAGCACCCTTTGACATGGGGAAGGGTGTTCTGTTTGTGGAACTATCTTTGTTTCCTACTCTATATGTTTATAAATTTATGCGCTACATTTACACATGACAAAAGCATTGTTCTATAAACAGGCATGCACCAAAGTTACCGCATCTCATCAGTCATCATCAAATGTTTACCGACATTTTCCATCGTGGATCTACCGCTCCAGTTTTCGTAAATGCCCAATAGGTATTATGCTGTCGGTGCCCATATTACAGTGACTCTATAAAGACAGTGTGGCCATATGCTCATTTCCGCCATTTTTCCCAAATTTATTATTGAGCTTATGGGAGAATCGCACATTTTGAGTGTAGGAATGTTGCGATTTACGCAAATCCTTCTTTTGAGAATTTTTTTTCGGGAGGTTTTTAGGGGTATTAGCAGATCAAATTACCGAATGGCTTGGGTTGTTCAATAAATAGGATTTGACATGTGTGTTCATGGTCTTTGTCTTGTAACCGGCTGAAGTGTAAAGTACGGCTTGTCTCAAAATATTTTGATATACCTTAATCGTTGCTGTGTGCTTTTGCTTTTTTGTATCAGGTACAGCTTTATTCAATTAATCTATAATGTGTGTAACTTGAATGTAGATTGTAACTTTTTACTTATGTACTTACTGGATTCAATCACTTGTACCTCTTAATGTGTAACCTTTGTTGGTATTGGCAGTCATGTTTCATTGTCGGTAGGGCTGTATCTGTGCTGTACATACTTGCATGTGTACATATTTGCGTATTGTGCTTTTTAGTCACTCTCGATTATTTCATTGCATTTCATTATATTTGCTTATTTGGGACTGGAGTAATCAAGAGGGAAGTGTGCTTGTTTAGAGGGGATCGAGTTATTCAAGTTTATACGGACCTTGGTGAACCTAACACTAACATTTTCACTCGTTCCGAACCCAACAACTTTAGCCCATGTCTACAGGGCCTGGGTAATCCTCCCGGCCGTCGAGGTATATTTAACACTTCTTAGTTTTGCCTGATGTATGTGTTGTAATACCTGGAGAATGTCTCGATTCCATTTTGGTTTGGTTTGGGTATTTACCCCGGTTTCGAGGGGGCTCAAAACTGCTGTACATTAGATGTTTGTTATAGGACTACTCCGAATTAGGTTTTCCTGCAGTTTTCCAATTCGTAAGGTAAATGCCGGAGTAGTATAGAACCACCTAATACCCTCTGCAGGGGCGCCGCTAAAAACATTATGCGGGTCACTCTGTAATCGTATTGGTATTAGATTCAATATAAACTTAATCAGCTATTTATTTTTACTTTTGGTGTTCCTTATCCATAAAACACCCTCAGTGCCTGCTGAGAACCCAGTTATTACACAACGTAGGTGTCCTACATGACGATCACGATCTTAGTGCACTCGGAGTGGCCCCCGAGTGACAGATTCTCGCGGGAAACTTAAGCGAGAATATTCAAATAGGCAGCCATGTTAGTTTGGCATTCCCTCTACTACAGAATATGGTCAAATATTCCGGTGTGATTTGAAGTTGGCGTTAGCCCACCAAGATCGGGTTCATAACCACAGCTCCCGCATGCGCAATAAAAATTACGGAAAGCACAAAGTTCACATTTAAAAGAATGAAGAAATTCTCTTAAATTAATTTATTTCTAGACTTCCCTAGTAGCACAAAATATTTGTTAAATATTTCTCTAATATTTAATAAATATCATATGTTGCCTAAATATATACAAGATTAAAACAATATTTCTCAAATATTGCGAAATTTATATATATACATAATATTAAATGAATATTTCTAAAATATTATCTGTAGACATCGGGCGCAAAATATTGCATTTTTAGTTATCGATCCAATAACAATAGATTTTTTGTATGGATGCCAAATAGAGTTTGCAATAATTGAATAATCGAAGGTCATTTACATTTTCTAAATATTAATGACATGTTGTTAAAATATTAGGAAAGAAATATTTAAATCTCACAAATAATTCATATTTAAAAATATTACGCGCGCGCATGTGTATTAATCACACACTGTTCAAGCCGGGTTGGAATGCGCTAAATAAGCACTTCTGTAAAGACGCGCCTACGTTTTGTGTATTAATGGCGGTTCGTTTTGTTCGTGGTTTTGTATTTGTCGTGCATGTTTTCGTTTTAGGTTAAATACCTGCGTGATTTAGCTTTATCGTATTAATAAGAGTAAGTAGTCTTTTGTTAAATGCGACAAAATGTATATAACATTTCTATTGTGTTTGTTCTAGGTTAGGTACTCTCACAGATCAAGTATTGTGGCTTAAAAAACTTGCCAAAAAGGTTCTTTTAAGTAAGTAGGTACTTTTTAAGTGCTTTCAATACCGATAATTATTATTAGTACATGGTGGCTCATCAGTAACGATAGCAAAAACATGGCAAGCCACAGTCGATACTGTAAGAAATATCGGTATATTAAGAAACAGGTAGAAAATAGTGTAACTTCACAAAGTGCCGAATTAAATCAAAGTGACCAGGAATGTGAATCTCATACACAATTATACAACACTGAAATTGATAAGATCAATCCGATTATCGACACCGAACAATTCTGTAGTTCTGCGGGTAGTTCTGCTTATCCACCTGAACTGCCTTCAACATCCACAACTTTCACGGTAAACAGTTCCTTTGATGATCCAATTCCTGTAACTGAAACTAGTGGTTCACAATTATGCACAGTGAATTTAAAGGAACGTAGTAGCACATTTCAAAATTTTATTAAATCTTGGGCAATAAACAAGAATGTCAATTTAACTCAGTTAAGTACTTTGTTACAAGGTGTCAATAGAATCATTCCTGAACTTAATTTGCCTAAGGATGCTCGCACGATTTTACAAACAAGAAGAGAGTTGAAATTCAATAACCTAAAAAGCAGTAAAGGAACTACATCTCAGTTTTCGTATTTAGGAATATCTTATATGCTTAAAGAGTATTTGAATGACAATTATTTACAGATGAGAATTTTAGAAAATGGTTATATTAGTCTATCTTTTAATGTTGATGGATTACCTCTCTTTAAAAGTACAAACCAACAACTGTGGCCTATTTTATGCCGTCTTCATTTAAAGTGTGCAAATTTAAAACCTTTTGTGGTAGCAATTTTCTGCGGAGACTCAAAACCATTTTCTTTAAGTGAATATTTGGATGAATTTATCGTGGAACTGAATTATTTACTTGAAAATGGATTTCGACACTACAATGTCGTTATTCCAGTTAAAGTTTTATGTATCAGCAGTGATGCTCCTGCAAGGGCGTTCCTTAAAGGAATTAAGGGGCATAATGGATTTTATGGTTGTGAACGTTGTGTTCAAAAGGGCAACTACATAAATAATCGAATGGTTTATCTAGATACTGATAGTCCTTTGAGAAATGATTTTAATTTTAGAAGGAAATTATTTCCAGAACATCATGTAACAGAATCTCCACTAACACGTATAAGTAGCTTCAATATGGTTTCCGGCTTTCCACTTGACTATATGCACTTGTGTTGTTTAGGTGTTATGAGAAAGCTATTAAATTATTGGATACGTGGTAGTACGTTGCAAGATATGGTTAGATTAAGAGTTAATTTAAGAATACAGCTCTCAAAGAGATTAGAGTATTATGCCAAATTTATGCCTAATGATTTTAATAGAAAATCTAGATCTTTAAATGAGCTGGATAGGTTTAAGGCTGTAGAGTTTCGGACTATACTATTATACTTAGGACCAATAGTATTAAAAAATATCTTATCGACAAAACTTTATGAGCACTTTCTTTTATTTCACTGTGCAATGCGTGTCTTGCTGTTGCCAGAATTTGTGGATACAGAGTGGATCAATACTGCTAAAGAGATGCTTGTTCATTTTGTTGCACAGATTAAACTATTGTATGGTAATGAAGCGAGCATATATAATGTCCATAGTTTAATTCATTTAGCGGATGATTGTTTATATTTCAAAGAAACGTTAAATGAAGTGAGCTGTTTCCCCTTTGAAAATTATTTAGGAAAATTAAAATATATGTTAAGACGGCCTAATCGACCAGCTGCACAAATATGTAAGCGATTATCTGAAACTAGTTATATTAACTATGACAGGTTGGATAATGCAAATTCGTTTGTAGTGCACAACAACACCATCTCATTCCCAAAATTCAAAATTTCACTAAATAAAAAAGATTGTTTTGTTTTTTTGAACAGCAGGAACATTTTCAAAATCACAGAAATTGTAGATGAACTTTATGTTGCAGGATTTATTTCAAGTGAATTAAAAAACTTGTATGATTACCCAATACCTTCCAGTGAATTGGGAATTTATAAATTTAACGCCTTTAGTCATATACATATGGAAATCATTCCGATCACGCAAATCAGTGGAAAATGTTTTGTAATTTCACAGAATGGTCATTTTGTGGGCATGATTTTACTGCATTTAATTTGTTAATTTAGATGTAAAGTTATTGTTGTACTGTATTGATCTGTTTTAGTTGGTTAGTCGATTGTATAAAACATGTGGGATATAATTATCTGGAAAAATGAAAATGCGATTGATTTTGTACCGTGCAATTGGGCTAACGAAAATAACACAATGTATAAATATCCCTTGGGAATGAGTGAGACAAAAGTGAGAGAAACAATTTATGAATGCAAAGAGTTATGTGAAAATTATAAGTGGTGCGATGTCGAGTTAAGAAAACAATGCATAAAAAGTTTACAACGTGCAAAGGAGTTATGCGATAAAGGCCAATACACTTCAAATCTGGAAACATCTGATGATGAAAATGAAGACACAAAAAGGAAGAGAACTAAACGGTATATTGAAGAATGTGGTCAATCTGAAAAAAGAAAAACCGTGGGACGAAGGCAACTAGAAGAAGAGGATCATAACAAAGATTCAGAAGAGGAAACCAGCACAGATAGAAGGAAAACATTTAACTTTCCGGAGAGACATGCTAGAAGAAGTAAGCATTTTTTTTATCCTATTATGATTTAAGGGTGTATTTCAGTAGTATAACATTTGTGCGAAAATAGGGCAATTTATATTTCGTCTCAATTCTGTAAAAGATGAAATGAAAGACTGAGCTAATTTTTTTCCTATAAATTATACATTTAAAAAGTGTGCTAGGTACAGAAAAAATCTTAACATATTAGAACAAAACAATTTTTTAGAGCACCGCCAAAAAAAAACCTTATTTTAATAGGTAAAATGGCGTCAAAACAAATTCATTTAAATATCTCTTTGAAGCATAGTCAGAAAAAACGGTAGCAAACCATAGAGCTATATTACTGCAAACATTAATTATCCCTTTTATTAACATTGTTATTGGTTTCAGATATCGAAATTCGTTCTGAAACTTCTTCGCCTCAAAGTGGTTCCAGTACTCCTAAGAACCCAGCAAGTAGAGAAACAAGTGTTGGTAGGTATTTATTACTATTTAGACGTTCTGTATAACAGAATTATGTTTTAGATCTTTTACGTGCTGTACTAAGAAATCAAGCACAAATGCAGTTTGAAATAAAAGAATTACAAAAAAAAATTGACGTAATACATAATAAACAATTAACAACATCAACGGGGCAGGGAGGGAGAGAGGGGCATCCCACGACTGAATCTAGATTTACAAACTTACTTCCGATTCGTAGTTTAGAAGGCGTACAGGAAGTAGAAGAACTTATACAAGATGATATGATATTTAAGGATTTGGTAAGTATCATTTATTGATTGAATTTTTGTATGCATTATATTGTTATAGGCGCATTTCCTGTATTTAGTAGGCGGTGACACTTTGTCAAGACTTGTGTACAACATCATGAAAAAGCTTCTTGTACCAGATGTATCTATTCTATATTCAGGCATAGGGAAAAAGCGTAAACTTCCGTTCTGTAGTTTGAAAATATACAAGGCAATTCAAGGTATTACACCAATTCTGATCTGTCATGCAGTACATTAACTTGTTGTGTTTTCAGTTGCTATTCGGAAACGTGATCCAATAGCCACAGAACAAAATATTAAAAAAACTGTTGCACTATACCTTTCCCAGAGTAAGTCCAGATTGAAGACAATTGATAGGTAGGTACGCTTTGTTTATTGTCACTATTGTGCTCAATTTTCTATAATTTTTTTTTATTACAATTGGTTCTTGTTATTTTCATTATTTCCAAATTAACGTTAATATTCTCTCTTGTTGTATACGTTTTTGAATGTCCGTAATTATAAATTAATGGTTTTTTTTGTTGCAGTTCCTCAACAACATCTAAGGATTCTGACCAGATAGATGAACAGGATTGAATAATTGGGTAGTAAAAGTTGATTTAATTTTTGTTTAGTTATAGTAATTTCATTTTTTAAAAAAACCAGTCTTTTCTTCAATTATATTTTTTGATTTCATATCATAGGTAATCATAGGTGCAAATCCCATCACTTAAATTCAACTATGAACCCTTGACAATCTTTTCTGAAAGGGTTTTTGTTAAGGTTGGATATAGAATTCTTGCTTATGTGCATATTTTGTCAATCCCAAGTTTTATTATTTAACTATTATTTAAGTAATATGTTATTCATTGTATTATTTAAGATTCATTTTTACAGCACTATGAGAAAATAAAGACATTTCTAGAAGTAAAACTTTACTTCTTGAAGTGCATTTATATTCCAAGATATTTTAAATACATCTGTAATATAATATAAATGTTTAATAAATATATTTGCTTATATTTTCAAAATGTATGTGCTTTTATTTATGAAATATAATTTCTTATATTTGTGAAATATACAGAGTTTCATTTGCTATATATATATTTTTACATTTATGAAATATATTTACATTTATTTCTTAAATATAGGGTTATATATTTATGAAATATATGTATAAATATTTTAAATATAAAAAAAAATCTCTCACTTTTAATATTTGTATAATATTTAAAAAATAATATTTGATAAATATTTAGTGCTACTAGGGTTTGCATAACTTTATTTACAATTGGTTATCAAATTACAACCACTATATCTCCGTGTTGATAGTTACGTTGGTACAGCCTTACGCTTCCAGATGACGAATAGGATAATCGTTTAATTATCAGGATACAAATTTTTTTTGACAATCTTTGTGTAACTTTGTTAGCGACGTCATCGTTTACATACTACGGTGCACCCATCAAACAGAACGAGATACGTGTCTAACAACTTTTACCAGCCGTAACCAGAACAATAACGTGTATGAACTGTACACAGACATTAAGTGTGCGTTTACAATGTATATACGTAGGGGAGCGAAGGGTAATTGCGAACACTTAAGAAAAAAAATCAATAACTCTATAAGTGTAGCCATTACCTAACTACCAATTAGGAGAACAGATACTGGAAACCCTAACAAATCAATTGTAATACCAAAAAATGCGAAAATTAAATTGTAAAATGACACAATATTTTTTTTAAAAAAAGTGCGCATGTTCGGCATTGCCCGAAGGTTTCGGGTAATGATGTACAACAGGTGGGTAATACCGAACAAAACAAAAAAGACACAAAATTGGACAACTAAGTTTTTTTATTAACTGCAAGTAACATCGCAGATATAGTTTACAGCGCTATCTTTTCCACTGCACATTTTGTGTACTACCCAACCTCCACAGGAAACACAACGATACCAAATTTCGTCTTTTCCATATTCCCCACATACTAAGCAGGATTCTCCTCCGTTTCCTTCAAAGTCCATCATATTTTGGGGATCCATATCGTCGAGTTCATCGTCGTCGCACAATTTACTCTCATCTATTTCATCTTCACTAGACGAATCGAACACTTTTCTAACGTGCGATTTTTTTTTCGGTTTCTGTTTTTTTGTGGCTCTTCTTTCCAAGGTTGCTTCTTTCGCTTCTCTTTTTCTTTGTTTCTCTTCTAACGTAGCCTTAAAAGGTGTAGATGTAAGAATCTCAGACTTTTGTTTCCGGCGCTTAGTCGCATGTCTGGTAATGCCGAACACAGTGTCCGTGATTCCCCGAAACGACCTTCAAAATTATATTTCAGGTTACAAAAATAAAAAACACAAACCTATGATAAAGCTATCGTCCCTGCTGATAACCATTAGCTTAGAGATTATAACTATCCATAAAGAATTTTAAAATTCCAAAATACAAAGCTAACTTACCTTAATTTTGCATAAAACGTTTTAATAACAAAGCACATACAAATTCACAAATCGCCATAACTCTCATAAACGGGAAGCTAGGTTCCTTTGCGCTGTACCGACCAACTTGTCATAGCATTTTCTTTTATATTTAACTGTATGTAAATGCCAATAGTTGGCACTGCAAGATACAAATGGATGTTCGCCATTAGCCGCTGTTCGTGATTACCCTTCGCTCCCCTAATTA